CACAATACCCAATCACGCCGGGGACACGATTTAAACTCCCATGCTGGCTCACAAAACAAATTAGTCCTACCTGACCCTGAAAAAACAGTTCTTCCATCGGACATTCAGAACCTCTTCCAAATAAGCCATTCCCCTCAACAACATTCTTAGGTTGCCATATACATATAACCCCAGATATCAAGGAACAGTTAAAAGCCATTTCCCATCAATGCTCTATTTGCCAAAAAGCCCCACCCCACACCAACTATAGACCCCCTTATTTCCCAACCCATCAAGCCAGAGGACACCTTCCCAGACATTACTGGCAAATTGATTTTACCCATATGCTCCCAGTAAAAAGGGTTCGATTTCTTTTAGTGCTGCTTGACACCTTTTCGGGGTGGGTCGAGGCTTTTCCCACAACCAACAAACGAGCTTCTACTGTCACTTCCAAATTCATAACAGAAATCAATCCCAGGTTCGGGGTGCCTCTTTCTTTTCAATCTGATAATGGTCCTGAATTCATTTCTCAAATTATTCCAACACTTGCACAAGCCCTAAGAATCACCTGGAAGCCACACATCCCCCACTGACCGCAATCTTCAGGAAAGGCTGAATGGCATTCTAGAAAAACACCCTCACCAGGTACTCACTCCAAACACAGAAAAACCGGGTTACATGTTTGCCTCTAGCCGTTCTAAAGATTCGGGCGCTCCCACGTAAACTTCTAGTGCTCAGCCTCTTTGAACTCGTGATGGGAGACCATTCGCCCCTTGTGCTCCACCTCAGGGTCAAGCCCCACCTCTACCAGCCCCTCGTTTTCCTCTCTTCCGCATACCATCCGCCATTTCATTTGGGAATATACTCACAAATACCTGTCGCAACCTGTCGACAACTCCTCTAATCCCTTCCTACAGCCAGGAGACTGGGTTCTGGTCAAAGATCCCAGCCCTCCCCCCAAACCCCCTCACACCTTACCAGATCATCCTTCCCACACCCACGTGGCAAAGCTCCAGGGACTCCCCAACTGGTCTCATACTTCTCACAGGAAGACAGACTTCCCTTCACCACATACCCAAACAACGAAATCTAAATCCCCTTCAGCCTTCTCTTGTGTCTCCACAGGACCTACTTCCCTTTGCCTCACCCAAATCCTGGAGGAAAAGGAGGAGAAATCCATTGAGAAGTTCCCATTATACATCCTGATCAGCTCCTGACTGCTCTGTGGGACCTATAGCTTCAAGGAACTTTCCAGCACTTTACTCCTACCAAGTCACTTTTTTCTCTTTTTGCCCATTTCTTTCGCATAAATTCCCTAATCACATCAACCTCTCCAGTACAACCGCTCCTCACTGCTCTCAAACCAGAATGCTCTATCACCCTCACACAGTCTCTCACTGCAGGCTAACGCTTCCTCTGGAGCGCTGGGCTGCTTACTGCTGTCTTCCTCAGCTCACACAGCTCTTCCTACTCTCCTGCATGACCTTGTAACAGGAAACATAACTCCAATGTATAAGCTCCAAAAAGGAGCTTCCTTTTTTCAAAGAGCTGACACTTTGGTCGCCGATTATTCTACTTCCAACCAATCAGGCCAACAAATTATTTCCAACCGATTACAACCCCCTAGAATGCCTTAAGCCCCAAAGCCCTCCCATTGAAGGGCCCATAACTAAACACCCCCCCCCACTTTTACACCAAGCCCCACTCTGCTTTTCAGCCTCCGAGGGAAATTTCCCTGTAGGGTCCTTGATATCTAACCAATACAATGCCACTATCACTGTTAAACACCCCTCTGACCATCAAGCTAACCAGGTCAACTACCAAGTATGACCTGAAGCAAAGGCAGCATTTCTGTCTTACAGAAATGTCTCACAGCCCCTCCCTCAGCCAGTGCCTCCAGCCTCACCTGTTGCCCCTAGCGCCGCCTTTTTCCATGGCTCATGTCCATGGGAGTAATGAATCACAGAAAGAAAAAAACACCTCATCTTGAATTCACTTATTTTCTTTCCATATTTCCGCTTGTATTTACGACAAAGCCTTGTTCTTTTTCTTTGGCATCAACATGTATCTTTGTCTCCCCACCAGCTGGACCAGAACCTGGGCCCTAGTTTACCTTTCTCCCTCCATTGGACGAGTTCCTCCAAATCATTCCTTTTTTTTTTTTTTTTTTTTGAGACAGAGTCCTGCTCTTTTGCCCAGGCTGGAGTGCAGTGGCAGGATCTCGGCTCAACCTCTGCCTCCGGGGTTCAAGCAATTCTCCTGCCTCAGCATCCCAAGTAGGTGGGACTACAGGCATGTGCCACCACGCCCAGCTAATTTTTTGTATTTTTAGTAGAGATGGGGTTTCACCGTGTTAGCCAGGATGGTCTTGACCTCTTGACCTCATGATCTGCCCACCTCAGCCTCCCAAAATGCTGGGATTACAGGTATGAGTCACTGTGCCCAGCCCCTCCTAATCAATCTTTACCTGTTCCAGCCAACCAATATGTTACGAAGAGGAGGGCCATACACCTCATTCCTTTAATGACTGTTACGTATAACCTCCGGGCTTGGGATTGGAGCAGGCAGATTGGCCACCTCCTTAACACGCTTTAAAACTCTTTCAACAGAACTGCAGAGATCATTAGAAGATTTGACCCAAAGCCTTATAAGAGTCCAAGACCAACTAGACTCCTTGACTCCTCCAAAATAGATGGGAATTCGATTTTACAATGACTGAAAAAGGGGATCTCTGCCTCTCACTGGGTAAAAAATGTTGCTTCTATCTCAACCAATTGCCCTTAGTAAGAGACACTGCTAAAAAACTTAAAGAAAGGGCTAAAAAGCTAAGAGAATACCAAGACAACCAAATAAATTCTCAGTTTAAAAACAAAATCTTAACACGGGTCATCCCATTTCTGGGCCAGCCCCTAAAAATATGCCTAGGAATAATGTTCTTACCCTGCTTAATTAACCTTTTTCAAAGATTTTTAACCAACAGGATCATGGCCATCTCAGAGACAATTACCCAAAAAATAGGATCATGGCCATCTCAGAAACAATTACCCAAAAAATATCTACAGACGGCATTATTCTTACAATCACTCTGAAACCAAAGAACTCTCGGCCCCTGCTCCTCAGCAGGAAGTAGCCACAAAAAACACCCTGCTCCTCGTCCTTTTTATAACTATAAAAACTGGATTGACAGAGCAGGAGCATAGCCATCTTGGACAAACACCACCATTTTAAATTCCCCTTGATTAAAAAAACTGCCTAGTGGGCGGATCATGAGGTCTGGAGTTCGAGACCAGCCTGGCCAACAAGGTAAAATCCCATCTCTACCAATGAAAAAATTAGCCAGGCATGGTGGTGTGCACCTGTAATCCCAGATACTCGGGAGGCTGAGGCAGGAGAATCACTTAAACCAGGGAGGCAGAGGTTGTAGTGAGGAGAGATCACACCATTGCACTCCAGCCTGGGCGACAGGGTGAGACTCTGTCTCAAAAAACAAAAAAAACAAAAATCTGCCTAAATCTGCCCCCAAATATCAGCTTAATGGCTAATGTCAGCATAACCAGAAACATTCCAACCCTAAGATAAACCCCTCTCTGACCAGACACATACCAACCCTGAAAAAGCCTCCCTTCCGACCAGACATTCCAACCCTGCAAGAAACTTTCCCTCACCTAGAAACAGTCTGAATCTACGATAAGCTCCCCCACTTTCAAAACCCTTAAATATCCTTAGTCTGTAAGAGAGAACACTCCTGACCGAAATTGGCCAGAATACCCTCTCAGGTTTATTCTCTGAAATAAACCAGTCTTTGACTGTTGAGCTGCTTTTCGTGTTCCTTTCCTCTTTCTTAAACTCTTACAAGTATTGTTACTTGAGTGTTTCTGCTGTAATGAAGGAGGTAGCAGTGAAGATCTCAGAATTGCAAGTGAGAAGCCAGTAGATGAGAGGCATGAAGCCTTGTTGGGCTCCCTCCATGTCCTACAGCCGAGTGCCAGAAACACATCTGTCCTGGAATGAATTGGGCTTAACTCTCTGCATGGAGGGAGACCACATAACCTGAGAAGCTTGGGTAAAGGGTGTTGGAAAGGACGTGTAAGATTTGGGTTTGTGTTAGTTGGCTTGGGGAAATGTTGATGGAAACGGGTCTTTACTCCAGATTGGATGTCAGGAAGAGGGGGTGATTCCATGATTGGGTATCTTGATGAAGCTTATCTAAATGGCAGGAAGACTGGACAAATGCTAAACGTGTAACAGGTCAAGAAGCAGCAATCACTCTTATTGGCCGTCACCAGGGAACTTTGGTCACTCTTGCGGCTTGGACAGTGTTTCTGCTTTGTCTATGTCAGACTTGATTACAGAGTGGTCTGTTTTTTTGTCTTGCTCCGTATCATGGCCTGATGTTGGTGTTTTATGAAATTGTTCGCAAAGAGAACACCCAGGCCTAGCTTTTGTGCCAGACCAACCCAAGTCCTGGCTGCAGAACCAGGCCAGCCCCCCGATGTCAGAAGCCGTCTTTCTTTCTAGGAATAGAAGGGAACGCCATCAAGGAGTCGGTCTTCTCCGCTCCCCACAGGGACCGGGTGGGTGCAGACAGATCGGGGAATGCCTCCTCTCCCGCCGGCATCTTTTGAGGTTTCTTTCCTGACGCCCAGGGGCGCTCCATCCACGCCTCGGTTTCTCAGGCTGTAAAACAGGCCAGGAAGAGGCACGCCGTGGTTAAAGAACGAGCCGAAGAGATGGCAAGAGCCCCAAAGCCTTCCCAGCCATCAGGGGCTGCCCTTGAGCTCGGACATTTCTCTCTGAACAGGCCTTCTCGGACAGGAACTCAACGAAACTTGACGGAAATCGGACACCCCCCGCCAAGGAAAAGCAGGAGAGGCCCGGGAGTCGCCAAGGCAGGAAACACCGCGGAGCCCAAGCGGCGCCGCCTGCCGCGCTCGCAGTCCCGGCGCGGGAAGGGCCTACGCGCGTGCGCAGCGCGCCTCCCTACTCCCTCCGCCCCGCCCGCGCGCAGCCCTCTGGGGCGGCGGGGCAACGCCGCGCGCCGATTGGTGGCGTCCGGGGCTCTCCCTGCAGGTGACTGACGGCGCTGACCACCCGCGCCCGTCGCCCGCCAGCCGCCGCCACCGCCCGCCCGGGGTGTGGAGCCCGGCCTCCGCTCGCGGGCTGCGCGTCTGCCGCTCCCGCCGTCGCCGCCCAGCCTCCGCCATGGACCTGTTCGGGGACCTGCCGGAGCCCGAGCGCTCGCCGCGCCCGCCTGCCGGTAAGCGGCGTTGCCGCCGGGCGGACCAGGGAAAGAGGGCGGGCGGGATGGCGGCGGCCTGGGGCCCGCGGCGGCTGAGGCGGCGCCCGCGTTGGGAGGCGACGGGCGGCGCGGGCTGTACGGGGCCTGTTTCTGCCTGGCCCGGCCCTGTCCGGCTCGCTGGCCGCCCCGCCGGGTGGCCCGGTAGTTCGCGGAGCTCGGAAAGGCCGCTCCGCCATTTTCGCTACGCAGGAAGGAAAGGGCTGCGCCGCCCTGGCCACGACCCTCTGCCTGGCGGTGGAAGGCCGCGGGGCGGCCGCGTGGGCCGGCCGGGGGGACCAGCTCTCTGCGCCCAGCGGCCCCGCGGGCCCCCGCGCCGCAATTCCACCCGCGGCCGGGGCTGCCCTGCGCGCCGCCCGCCCGCCCGCGACTTCCGGGCCGCGCTTCACTCGCGGGCCGTGGAACGGCTGCGCTCCCGGCGGGTGCGCGTTCAGGGGCTCGGCGTTCCGTTTTGCTCGGGAGGTTGAATTAATCACCATCTTAAGCCTTCGTGTTTCTGAAGCCTGGAAGACAGGATGCCTCCTCTGCCATCCTACGATTTTGTGATAATTAACAGTAGTTTTTTGTTCTTTTCTGGGCTGCGGGAAGTTTCCCCTCTCCCTGAAGTTAAAGGGACGGCTCATCTGCTAAACCCTGTTCCCTGGTGGGAGTCCCTGTGGGCTGCGGTGTGAGCGCAGCATCCTAACAGCGTGAAACGGGGCCTGTGTTAATCTCTGCGTCCCGTGGGTTACCGCCACTCCGGATTTCATTTGGCAGAATGCGTGAATATTTCACATGCGAGACTTCAGCTAGATGCTGTAGTTTAGAGCCTTATTACCAAACCTAACTTGGGGGCAGAAATCCTGGAAAACTGAAGACATTCAGATTTCCAGGTCCACCTCAGCCCCAATAAATCCGAATCCCTGAGGGTGGGGTTTCCGAATCTGTTACTAAATCCCCAGGCCCACCGAGCGGGGGCTGCAGACCAACGGTTTGGGAACTGCTCTTGTGGGGCAGATAGAGGTAAGGCCCAGCTTTCGCTTTCTAAGAGCTGCTTTCTGAAGGCTAGTAATTACGGTAATTAAAACTGGCAAAAGTTAATGACTGTGGGAAATGGCGAGGACTCTTCAGGAGGGATTGTCGTGCACCAAGAGCCTGGGGAAGGAGGCAGTGTTGGAACTGAGCTGCTGAGGATGAGCAGGCTTGTGATTTGCAGTGATTCTGGGCAAGAAAATGGTGTTTATTTTTGTTTTTGAGACGGAGGCTCTTGTCACCCAGGCTGCAGCTTTCTGCACCCTGCGCCTCAGCCTCCCTAGTAGCTGGGATTACAGGCACCGACCACCACACCCAGCTAATTTTTGTATTTTTAAGTAGAGACGGGGTTTCATCATGTTGGCCACGCTAGTCTTGAACTCCTTCAGGTGATCCAGCCGCCTCGACCTCCCAAAGTGCTGGAATTACATGTGTGAGCCACCGCGCCCGGCCCCCACTGACCATTCTCATGGTACAGAGTATATCAGTAACTGGTCCTGGAGTCTTTGGATTTGACTCAGCCATTCATTTTCAGAATAACCCCAGTTCTAGCTGTGGGTAAAAATTGGCTTTGTGTAGCCGTCTTTTTCTCTGTCAGTGGAATTTAACTTCTATGTGAATATATTTGGGGCAGCGTTTGTATTCACTAATGTGCCTATAAACCTATGAGTTTTTAAATCTCCGTTACTTCTTACCTGCAATTAGATTCTGCTCAGGGGTAGGCTTCCTTGACTGACAAGAAACGTGGCAACTCAAAATCTCATAAGTTGACACCTTAGCAGCCTTTCGCTACATAAAATGGGAAAAGTACATCCTGTTGCTGTTTTTTCCAAACTCAGTTTCCAACCTTGACTGAGCTGAAAGGGTGGCAGAGGGGCTGCATGGTGTTTAAACTGCCAACTCCCCTGAGAATGGATTGGTCACCTGCTCCCCGTCTGCCGGGAGGGCACTGACACTGTCAACAGGTCCTGCTTGCTGAGTGTATTTTTAAAAGTAGCTTTAAAACGAAGAAGATACCAAAATTTGTAGATGACTGGAAGCTGAGAGGGATAAGTACTAAAGTGAGTGACAGAATTGGGATCCAAAGTTAGCTACAACCAACAATGAGATTTGACAAGTTAAAAAATCTTTTGTGCAAGAACAGAATCTGGTTTCACATACTTGTGAAAATACTGTGATTTTTTAAAAAATTACACTACTTTGATAAATGATATTGATTGCTACAGTGAGTGGAATAATGAATCTAAACGGTGCATCATGACCCTCAAACATGGTATGTGGGTACCACAAATCTCTGAGCTGATGCGGTGAACAATAAAAGACCTAGTTATTTTCACAGAGCGCAAAAATAGTTGTTCAGGAAATGTAATCAGACTATTTGGTTTAGAATCCAGCTCTTACTCCCTCTGCCTTCTATGGCTGTTCGTACATCTGTAAAAAGGGGTGACACCTCCTACTGTTACTGTACAAATTCAAGAGTATAATATGTATGCTGTTGAACATAGTGTGTGGTAGAACCTGTAGTGTTTTATAGATGTTAGCCATGGTTAATTATTTTTGAGACAGTCTCATTGTGTTGCCCAGACTGGAGTGCAGTGACACAAACACAGCTCACCTCCCTCAATCTCGCAGACCATCTTTCCCCTCAGCTAACTGGGCAGCTGGGATTACAGGTGGGCACCACCATGGCCAGTTAATTTTTGTATGTCTTGTAGATACGAGGCTTTGCCATGTTGCTCATGCTGCTCTCGAACTCCTGGGGCTCACTGGCCCAGAGTGTTGGGATTACAGGTGTAAGCCACTGTGCCTGGCTGAGCCATTAACAGTCTTCTAAAAGTAGAAAAATGCAGTCTTAAATGAATTTTATGAAAGCACTAAGTGTCCAAGGGAGAAAATACTACATTGCTTAGATCACATCAAATTTTTAAATATTTTATATAGATATTTTGATTTTGTTGTTTTAAATAATACATCTAATGTTCCCACCCCCAAACCTCTTAAATTTTTATAATCTAAAAAAATATATAGAATGCACTCAATATTTCAGGTATTGTGCTAAAATTAGTAGTTTTCATAGAAGCCTTTAAAAGTTTTAATTGCTGAGTGAATCAAATTTTTTTAAAAAGATACATACATATATATGTATGTATATATATACACATGTATATGTATATATATACATATATACACATGCATATATACATGTGTGTATATATACATACATATATATGTGTGTGTATATATAAAACCTAAAAAAGTGTTGGTTCATATCAGGCAGAAATGGCACTTTTCTATGTCATACCCATAAATAATGTTGACTTGATGTCTTTAAGCTTGACAGCTTATATCTGACAATGCACACATGTCATTTAAAGGTGTCATGGTTTAAAATTACTTCAGCAGTAACTTGGTTTCATGGTTATAGGGTGGTTCTGTTACTTATTTGGTTGCTGCAACAGTCCATTTAAAATTAGTGGTCATTTGTCAAGGACTACATAAAATACTTGCTTGGCACTCCATCTTACAAATACTTTAAAAAAAACTGGAGGCTGGGCTTGGTGGCTCATACCTGTAATCCCAGCACTTTGAGAGGCTGAGGCAGGAGGATGGCTTGAGGCCAGGAATTTGAGAAGAGCCTCGTGCAACTCCTGTCTCTAAAATTAAAAATAATAATGGGTATTTAAACATAAAATAAAAGTTAAGCATTAGAAGAAAACAGATTAATTATAAAACTACAGGGTTGAACAAGAAGAAAGTCAAAAAACTAAAGTGAATTTGACTATGTAAAAATTTAAAATTTCTGCAGGACAAATGACATTATAAAGGCAAAAGACAGAAAATACTTGCAATATACATTACTAAGGGTAAGTGAAAGGCTCACGAAATTAATAGGAAAAAATAAAACCCACTAGAAAAATGTTCAAAGGATGTATCCTACCAGTTCAGAGGGAAGGAATACAGATGGCCCATCAGCAAAAAGTTGCTGAGGAATTAGTTACTGAGGAAAGGAATGTCAGATCACCTTTTCACCTATCAGATTAGCAACAATTGGTAACATTGGTGAATGTGTAGAGAAATAGATATTCTTATAAAGTGTTTTGGGAGTGAACATTACTACAGCTTTTTGGGGAACAAATTTTGGCTTCTATCAGATTTAAACTAATATCCTTTGACTAGCAGTCTATCAGATTAAGCAAGAATATATGTGTCAGGTTGTTTATTATATAGTGGCATTACTTGTCATGTGAAGAACTGGAAAAAGCTTGAATGCCCATCAGTAAGGCACTGGTGAGGTGAGTGGAGATGCTTCCCATATGTAGCTGTTGGAGAGAATGAATTAGACGTGGGTGTGTTGGCCTGGAGCACACTTTGATGGGTTATGTGAACAATAATATATGTAGAGTATTGTGTAGAGCATGATTCTGTCTTCTACATGTTAAAATGCATGCATTCATGTACACGGGCATTAAGGAAAGTGGAAAATATACACTAAACTGATGCTGTGGTTGGGGAGTGTGGTAGAACCCCTGTCCCCTTTTTTCTGATAATACCTGTGTGATGTTTGGAAAACACTTGGATTTCTTTTATAGTTGAAAAGAAAACTGAGGTATAAAAAACAATTTAGGCAAAATATTTTAACACCCTTTTCCAACTTTATTAGATATAGAAACCTTTAACCCGAATATGATCAACCCAAGGGTATTTTTCTCAGCATAGTGTGTAACTTCAGGTAGACTTAGCTCCAGAATGTTGATAGCTGAAAAAAAAAAAGTTCTAGGTGAGATTAACTATGATTAATAAACATTTTTAGTCCTGTTTCATTCTCATTAATGTTCTAATATTTAGAAGATTGGGGAAGGGGCCTCTTCCAAATTTTTGGGTCAGGGTTACACTTTGTCCAATGATTGCAGTCCCCAGTGCTTTGAATTTTAGTTTATTCAATATAGAGTGTAAGGGCCAGGAGCAGTGGCTCACACCAGTAATCTCAGCACTTTGGGATGTTGAGGTAGGAAGATTGCTTGAGGGCAGCATAGACCCCCGTCTCTACAAAAAGTTAAAAAATTACCTGGGCATGGTGGTGCATGCCTGTAGTTTCAGCTACTCAGGAGTCTGGTGAGGGAGGATTGCTTGAGGCTAGAAGGTTTAGGCTGCAGTGAGCTGTGATCACACCATTGCACTCCAGCCTGCCTCACAGAGCGAGACTCTTGTCTCAATTAAAAAAAAAGAATGGAAGATTTGGCTAATTAGTAGTTTCCTTATGTAGTATTTATGACCTATAGATTTTTTTTAGAAAAAGAATCCATGTGCAGACTTCTAAGTTAGATCCTTTTGATGATGCAAAGGTATTCCAGAATTTTTAGAATCTCAGGATTATCATAGGATTGTTGTAAGGATAAAATGTGATCTTTGTGAAGTTTCTGAAAGGGTGCCCATATATGGAGGCAGCATAGTAACTCACTAAGAGCATGGACTGCATGGGTTTGAATCCCCACTCCACTCCTTATCGGCTCTGTGATCTTGAATGGGTAATTGACCTCAGTGCCTCAGTTTTTTCATCAGTAAATAATAATAGTACCTATCTCATAAGAATTAAATGAGTTAAGATGTATAGAACCCTTAGAATAGTGCCTGACAGGCAGGCAGTATCATATTTATAAGCCATTACCAATTGTGGCCAGCAGAATGTAAGGTGGTCTCACTGTGTTTAATTGAAATAGCTTTCCTAATATTCCAGATTGAGAAAGAAGGTGATAGACACATTCTGTGCAGCACAGGGAGCTAGGCAGTTCTCTGGGGATGGGGCTCAGTTTGGGGCACCATCTGACTGAATAGTAGCCAAAGGAGAGGGGGCTAGGCTAGTATGAATACTAAGCTGGAAGCTGCATTGTGAGGAATGCTTGCAAGAACTGAAGTGTATTTATTACCTGGGTAAAAGACGACTTCCCCCAGTGTACAGTGGACAGACCTGCTTTACATGGGCAAGTTAATTCAAAAATTAAAGACCTGGCATAAGTGGAAGGGTTGGTTCTGCTTCAGGTTGGGCTGTTATCTGTAAATGTCCCCTCCCTTGTTCTAAGACATCTGGCTCTCTGACCCCACTGAATGCAGCACGATTGTCTGCATCATCTCATGGTTTTGAGTCTGTCCAGAGAATGGACATTTTGATTGTTAGACCCAATGTCGTTTGGGCAAAAGTGACCTACTCTTGGATATTAGGAATTCTTGTAAGTGGATTAAATCGAGTAATGGTTATCCTAAATACCTTTTTTTTTCTTTTTTTGCGACAGTCTGGTTTTGTCCCGAAGGCTGGAGTGCAGTGGCGTTAGCTCAGCTCACTGCAACCTCTGCCTCCCAGGTTCAAGCTATTCTGCCTCAGCCTCTCAAGTAGCTAATTTTTGTTTTCGTTTTTGTTTTGTTTTTTTGAGACTGAGCACTCTGTTGCCCAGGCTGGAGTGCAGCAGCACAATCTCAGCTCACTGCAACCTCCTCCTCCTCAGTTCAAGCAGTTCTCCTGTCTCAGCCTCCGCAGTAGCTTGGGAGTACAGTTGTGCACCACCTCTTGCCCAGCTAGTTTTTGGATTTTTAGTAGAGATGGGGTTTCATGTTGGCCAGTCTGGTCTCAAACTCCTGACCTCAGGTGATCCACCCACCTTGGCCTCCCAAAGTGCTGGGATTATAGGTGTGCACCACTGCACCTGGCCATCTTAGATACTTTTTAATGGTTTTATTCTGCTTCTTGTATACTTCTCATAGTCTTTATGTCACTTGTAAGAAAAACAAAAAAACGAAAGTATTTGCAATTCCTTAATTTGTTTAGGGTCATCCTGAAGGATTAGAATACATTTTTCCATTTGTATTAGGGGTCTAAAGCAAAATAGTTACTTTTTGTTAACTCAGAAATTTATTGTGTGTGTTAGGTACTTCTCACCCAAACACCCCAGGAGAAATTTCATTCCCTTGAGTTTATAAATTGTAATTAAAACTTTTGTTTTTAAAAGAAGAAAATTGATACCTAGCTCATTTCTAAATGGAGGCAAAAAGATGTTATGGATGACCCTCTTGGGGGATATAAATTGATTTCTTTAAGTGAGTTGTTTTTTGCCTGGCACAGTAGCTCAGACCTGTAATTCCAGCACTTTGGGAGACTGAGGAGGGGGGACCACTTGAGGCTAGGAGTTTGAGACCAGCCTGGCCAACATGGGGAAACCCCATCTCTACTAAAAATATAACAATTAGGCCCAGTGTGGTGGCTCACACCTGTAATCCCAGCACTTTGGGAGCCTGAGGCAGGCAGATCACTTAAGGTCAGGAGTTCAAGACCAGACTGGTCAATATGGTGAAAACATGTCTCTACTAAAAATGCAAAAATTATCTGGGTGTGGTGGTGTGCACCTGTAATCCCACCTACTCAGGAGGCTGGGGCAGGAGAATCACTTGAACCCGGGAGGTGGAGGCAGTGAGTGGAGATCACTCACCGCACTCCAGCCCGGGTAGCAGAGTGAGACTCAGTCTCAAAAAAAAAAAAAATTTTTTTTTAAGTGAGGTTTTTTTTTTTTTTTTTTTTCCTTAAAGACATGGCATGGTCTCATTATGTTGCCTAGGCTGGAGTGCAGTGGCCCAATCATGGCTCACTGCAGCCTTGGCCTCCCTGGGCTCAGGTGATCCTCCCACCTCAGCGTCCTTAGTAGCTTGGACTACAGGCGCTTGCCACCACATCCAGCTAATTTTTGTAGAGATTTTTTTGCCGTCTTGCCCAGGCTGGTCTTGAACTCCTGGGCTGAAGCAATCCTCCCACCTCAGCCTCCCAAAGTGTTGGGATTATAGGCATGAGCCCACCACGCCTGGCCTAAATGAGTACATTTTTATACTCGAACTGTGAGGAACAAGAGGTGAGAAAAAGCCCATGTGTTTGATTGGTGTGTTGAACTTCGTAGGAGGTGAATGTGCATACTTTCAACTAGGATTCCTGTGTGCCAGTTCAGATATCTAATAGCTTAAATAGAATTTTAGGGAAAGCTGGATAATAAGGAATAGTGGTTAAATTTTATGTGCGAAAAGATAATTAGGCATAAAACATTTACTTTTGGAGTGGAAATCTTTACATTTTTTGTTAAGAGTTTTCTGACTTTCTTCTGAGGCCATCTGTCTTTGATTACCTGAAACTCCTTATTTTCTCCATAGCTATTTATTGAATCAGGCACTGTGCTGGGGCCAGGGACACCAGGTTACAACAGATTTTCTTCCCCAGCAGAATGTTACTAAAATAGGATTTTTATAAACCTGTAGAACTTTGAAGGCCCCCCTCGCCCAGTTTCTGAACTCCTGTCTTGAAGTCTCAAGTATTGTTTTACTGGTCTAGAATCAGTTTTTTTTCTCCCAAGGATTCTATTTCAAAGAAAGACTTAAATGTTTGATGCTTTCAATAATGAAATTATCAAGAAAATACTTATTTTCCTCAAAATACTCAATGGCCCTGACAATGACCTGTTAGGGCATCATTCATTGTTTTTATGTTGACTGTAATTGTTGGAAACAGATGTCCATATTAAAAAGCTGTTAAGAAAAGATTTTTTAAAAGTTTGTCCAGCAGGAAGAAGAAAATTTGAATCTAGTAGTAAACTTGTTTCAAAGCAGGAAGACCACATGGTCTTCTCCTTTGAAAATCTGTCCTGGATGATGACCATATGCTCTCTAAACAGGATTTCTGTGTTTTAGGGAAAGAAGCTCAGAAAGGACCCCTGCTCTTTGATGACCTCCCTCCGGCCAGCAGTACTGACTCAGGTACAGTCTCCAGGCTCTCCCAGGTGTGTGTCAACGTCTCTACTCATCCTGGGATTGTAGTTGTCTCAATCTTTTTCCCTTTCCCCCATTTTCAACACACAGATGTTTTAGGTGTTGGACTGTCTTTAAGTTTTGAATCCATGGGATCAGGTAAGGCAGAAAAATCTGCTAGTCGCCAGCCCTGAGAAGTACTGCCAGAACATGTGGAGCGGTTTTCTCTGGTCCTTTGAGTATTTATTTTACTACCTGAAATACAATTTAACTTTTTAAGGCAGATTTTTATTTCCTATGAAATGATACGACTTTAAAATAGGTTCAAGATATTATTCATTGCAGTATGAGTTGCCACTGGATTGACGCAAGAGTTTTGAGTTTATTTCAGTAACCTACATAGGTGTCCTGGTGGGATGGATTCTGAAACTTAAGCCTTACATTATTTTTTGTGGGCTTACTAAGTGTTCTGCTGTGTTTCAGGATCAGGGGGACCTTTGCTTTTTGATGATCTCCCACCTGCTAGCAGTGGTGATTCAGGTAAGTGGTAGGACAAAAAACCCAAGGTGCTGATGGAAATAATACACAGTATTTCATTCTTATGTGAAATTTACGTATAGATTTTGACAGGATTTTGGATGACATTAAGTCATAATACAGCATAAGGTTTACTATAAAACTATAAACAGGCACCATCAATTGGAAGCACAAAGATAACACTATATCAGTTTCTGGTGATATTAACTTGTTGAGGTTCAGGTTGTTGGAACTGACTTTGAGAATTAAGAGTTCACTGATTTACTCTCAACTTTGTTATTAACATTTTTTAAAAATTCAGTTTGTGATTCTGATATGCCTTATTAAACAAAGTGCTTGACCCAAGTGTATCAAGCCTAGTAGTATTGGCTCTACCTTCTCCTGAAAATGTTCCTTTTCACGTCCTAATTAAGTAGGAGGGAAGAATAGAGGAGATTCCTCTTACCAACGTGGCAAAGGTACGATTCTGTCTCATGAGAACTTCTTATGTGGAGCTCCTCTGGTGGGGGAAGGTGAGGGTTATGAGAAGTTGGGAGATAAATGGTGTGGGGCAGTGGGGATGCAGGTAGTACCATTTCAGAAAATGTACTGCAGTCATCTTACATAAGAATTCTCCGTCTTCAGGGCTGTAGACCCATACAAAAACATTGTAGCATTCTCCTACTCACAGTGTAGCCTGAAACCTTCCTCATAAAGATGGTACCCTTAGTTGTAATAAAAGTTAATATGTTGTGTCCGGGTGCGGTGGCTCATGCCTGTAATCCCAGCACTTTGGGAGGCCAAGGCGCACAGGTAACTTGAGGTCAGGAGTTTGAGACCAGCCTGGCCAACATGGTGAAACCCCATCTCTGCTAAAAATACAAAAATTAGCTGGGTGTGATGGTGCATGCCTGTAGGCTGAGGTAGGAGAATCGCTTAAACCCGTGAGGTGGAGGTTGCAGTGAGCCGAGAACGCTCCACTACACTCCAGCCTGGGCAACGGAGCAAGACTGCATCTCAAAAAAAGAAAAGGAAAACTCAAGTTATGAACCCTACCAACTGAGTGGATGTCTTTCTGTCCTATAGAGGTATTGGTGGCTTATGGATCTGAATCGTGAACTTTTTGTCATTAAACTATGATCATGCCACTGCATTCTAGTCTATGTGACAAGAGTGAGACCCTGTCTAAAAAACAAAAAGAAAAAGAAATATCTGGCAAAGAGGAGGTTGAATAAGTAAATAACTACTTGCATCTTTTTTTTTTTTTAAAGAAACAGGGTCTCACTGCTTTGCCCACGCAGGTCTCAAATGCCTGCGCTGAAGTGATCCTCCTGCCTCAGTCTCTGAAGTAGCTGTGACTACAGGAATGTGCCACTTCATCTGGCTATTGCATACTTCTATACCTAAATACTTTTTATCCCTAAATGCAGAGAACATTTACAGTCATTTGTTAGGACAACAGCTGCCATTATTGGAGATTGATGTGTTAGGCACTGTGATAAATGCTCTTCCTACCTGTCCTTAACAATTTTCAAACATCTCTCTGAGATGAAAGTATTCTTACCATGTTATGCACTGGTGAAGACAACTGAGACTGAAAGGAAAGTAACTTGCTGTTAACAAGTTACTGTTAGCAAGTTACTTGCTGTTTCCTCTTTGAAAGTTGACTTTTCTCATTTCAAACACATAGACACTGCAGATTCCCTTAGCTCTGGCTTTAAGTAGAGATTCATCCTTTCACTAGTGGGAACAGCGTGGCAACCCTATTTTGCCTTTGAAAGGATGTATTACAGTTTTTTTTTTTTTAAAGGATGGGGTTTCACCCTGTTGGTCAGGCTGGTCTTGAACTCCTGACCTCAGGTGATCCACCCGCCTTGGCCTCCAAAGTGCTTGGATTACAGGCGTGAGCCACCGCGCCCGGCCCGGATGTATTACAGTTCTTAAAGGCTGAAATTTACCTCATTTTGAGCCTTTTTGGGTACTTGTTTCTTTTTGGAACTTCTTTAGAGTATGTTAGCTTACTTACAGATTTTGTAAGTTTTTGTTTAATACTAAGAGCCTGTGGATATAAAAACATGTATATGCTATGGGCCAAAAAAAAAAAATATGTGTTTTACCACTGGGAAAGTCTTTTACAGACCCCTTCAGCAGGGTCTGTTTGATTCAGGGCCTGGATCTTAACTTTATGTTCCCTCACTATGGGAACGTGCCCCCCATCACCATGAGGACACAACTCCCGGGTCTGCCTGTGTCTGCCAGTCCTTGCTTGAAATGACCTTGTCTGAGTGCTAGGATGAAGCCCAGTACGCTAGTGACTTCTTCCAACAGTCTACAGCTGTGTTTCTGTCCGGCTTTTACTTTATTTCCAGGTTCTCTTGCCACATCAGTACCCCAGATGGTAAAGAATGAAGGGAAAGGAGCAAAGAGAAAAACCTCTGAGGAAGAGAAGAATGGCAGTGAAGAGCTTGTGGAAAAGAAAGTTTGTAAAGGTTTTCAGACAGTTTGAAAACAAATGTATTAGACTTCATATTTTAAAACAACCCAGAGCAAAACCAGTTTCAGCTTTCTAATAATACTTTCTTTTTATATCTATATCTAAGAAATGGGTTCCCTTTTTGCAATTGAATTTCCGAGTTTCTTTGTGCTTTTTTTCTCCTACTTTTCATGTACATCTATCTCTTATCCTCCCTTTGCTCAGATAGGAAACCTACATTTATTCCTCAAGAGTTACAAAATACAGGTGGTTTTTTTCTTAGCCTTCTGCAGTGAATAGTTTTTGACCACCTAGTCTCCCTGTGATTTCCAGTCTTTGTTCACAGTTTGTGGATTAGTGCTTTTAATTCTGTGATTTAGCTTGGTAGGCAGCTTCCCTAAGCCTGGAAAAAGTAGTTGAAATTTGTAGTCAGTTTTGTAACGTGTCAAAGTTAGTGGGAAAGAAAACAAAAAGTATTAACTAAAGAGAATAGTTGTGATACTCAAGTATTCTTGAGCTGTGGAATTTTCATTGACTGCATTGTCCTTTGCCACAAATTACCTCGGTGAAAGCTGTATGATGCAGGCAGAGGTATGTGAAAAGATCCACTTGTAACTTTACTGGGAAGATGTTTTCTTCAGCTTGGCTTGTCCCTTCCCAGAGGACAGCTCTTTGAGTGTTCATTTTGTTATTTGTCTGGTATTAGGTATCAGAAAATGAGTTTAAATGAGCCTACCCATTAAATGTAAATAGATCTCTGCCCTGCATTGGAATCTTCTCTTTTTCTTCCTCAGTTGAAGTAAAGCAACTGATCTTACCATTTGTTCAAATTCTTCACCAGCCTTGAGCATGGAAATACTTATTTTCTGGGCATCTACAGGGCTTTTGAGACAAACTCTACTGACTTGGATTTGTCTAACTGTTGACTTGCATTTGTCCTTATTTATCACAAGACTAAATTTGCTCATAATCCTTTCCCCGATTTTAATCTTACTTCTCTGTGATAGCGGCACATCCCCAGGGCACATCCCTTGCCCTGGCACTTCAACTCATACCCTAGACAGAGGTGTTTTGCGCTCACTGACTCCTCTCTTGTGTCTCTGTGCAACCTCTTAGAGCTCACCCTGCCCATCAGTGCTCTGATTTTAATTATAGACTTGCAGCTGGGCGATACCGTAAGGGGTATTGCTTATTTGTTTGCACCATTAGGATATTGCTGAGTAAAACGGTCATAGTTCCCTCTCATTTGCTCTGGGACTAGGGTTTCCAGAGGGTTGGGCACAGTTTTGTATTGGCTTTTTTGTTCTCTTTTCCTTAGCCTCTTCGGTGATCTTTGGTCTGAAGGGCTATGTGGCTGAGCGGAAGGGTGAGAGGGAGGAGATGCAGGATGCCCACGTCATCCTGAACGACATCACCGAGGAGTGTAGGCCCCCATCGTCCCTCATGTGAGTCTCTGTGTGGTAGGAAGCCTGTTTGGCACTAACGTCTCCTGGGTTCTGATTGGCATTTTGGACTGGCGAGTTTGTACTTACTAGAAAGACTAACATATCACTTGATTCTACATCAGTGATTCTCAGCTGGGGTTGATTCTGCCCCCTGCCCAGGGGACAGTTGTCAGTGTTTGGGTACATTTTTGTCACGGTTGCGGGAGGGAGTTGTTACTAGCGTCTGGTGGGTAGAGATCATCTTAGAAGCACAGGGCAGCCCCACAACAAAGAATTTTTCAGGCTGGAATGTCAGTAGTGTTGAGGTTGAGCAACCCTGCTGAGCGGGAGATGACGCCATGTGGCGTGGCTCTGCAGCATGTGTTACTCCTTACTGGCAACTGAGCAGCTTCTGGCAGAGAATATTTTTATTCCGTGACCTAGAAGATAAGAGTTGGAAGCCACCAATTAAAGTATGAATGGTGATCAAGGAGAGCTTGTTCAGATAATGAGGGCCAAGGAAAAACAAAAGTCAAAATGATATCAAGGAAAAGACAGACAATGGAAAATTAGCTGCAGCTATACAAACTAAAATGAAGCCTTCTGGATAAGCTCTTGGGCCTGGAGAAAAAGTAACCAGAGGGTAGGACGTTAAGTTGACTGTTAACGTACATTATAGTACATATTTAATAATACATATTACATAGGTTGCATAATTCAGAATTTCATAATGCATGCATTATGTACTTTAACTGACACCAGTTGGTCATTAACATACAGTGTGCTGGAGCTATTTGGGCTGACAGCGTTTGTCCAGATAAGGGCCACCCATGAAGATGAGGTGATGACTGCTGCAGAGCAGCTGATCATGTGTAGAGGGGATGATATACACTCCCATTGAGACAGGGTCTAACTCTCCTGCTCAGGCTGGAGAACAGTGGCACAATCACAGCTCATTGCAGGCTTGATCTCCTAGGCCCAAGTAATCCTCCCACCTCAGCCTCCTGAGTAGCTGGGACCATAGGCATGTGCCACTACACTGGCTAATTTTTTGAACTTTTATAGAGACAGTGTCTCCCTGTGTTGCTCAGGCTGGTCTCAGACTCCTGGGCTCAAGCCATCCTTTCGCCTTGACCTCCCAAAGTGCTAGGATTACTCCCATGAGCCGCCACACCCAGCCTGGGATTTGCATTAAAACCAGGAAAGGGACCTCTGGAGCCAAGAAGGCAGATCCCTTGAGACTAAATTTAATTGGGAACACTAAATCATGCCTTGCAAGTAGCAGATATTAAGATAACAGCGCTAAGTTACAAAGCAGGTGAGGTTTTTTCTCATGGCTCAGGATGTCCTAAATTGAAAAGGCATTCCAAAAAATTTGAAGGAAAAGCAGCTCTCTAGAATAAATGTCATTTCTCATAGGCATTTTTGTTTTTTTTCCTTCTTGAAATAGTTTATTTCATATCTTTTATTCCATATGTGTGGGTTTTCTGGCAAAACTTGAAAGGGGAATAGGAATAGCTATAGTGGTAAGATAGGTTTTAAAAATGAGATACCTGTATTCAAAATTTATTTGAGTAATAATTCTGTAATATCCTTCCTGCTCTTATAGATACAGTCATGTGCTGAATAACAACATCAAGTCAGTGATGGACTACATATATGATGGTGCTCCCATAAGATTACAAATTTTATAGATATGGGGTCTCACTGTGTTGCCCAGGCTGGTCTTTAACTCCTGGCCTCAGGTGATCCTCCTGCCTTGGTCATCTCCCAAAGTGTTGGGATTAATAGGCGTGAGCTGCCGTGTTCAGCCATAATACCATGTTTGCCGTACCTTTTCTATGTTTAGGTATGTTTAAATACACAAATACTACCATCGTGTTACAACTGCATACAGTATTTAGTGCAGTAACATGCTCTGCAGTTTAGCCTAAGAGCAGTAGACTCTACCATGTAGCTTAGGTGTGTAGTAAGCTACACTATCTCAGTTTGTGTAAATATGTTCTATGATGTGCACACAACAACAGTATCACCTAACAGTGCATTTCTGTTGTTAAGTGATGCATGATTCTATTTTTGACTGTTTTCAATAAATAACCTGATCTGTGTGTTAATGTTTAAAACCAAATCTGATTTAAATAGGAACAGATTTGGTTTTAAACATTTAACACACAGATGAGGTTATGGAATAAAATAGTGTTGTCAGTGAAAAACCAGAATTAACATATCTTGATCTTTGAAGCAAATGTGAGTTTTAAACATTTAATTTAAAATGCTATGAAAGTGTTACAGCTCTTTTAGAATATTAGACCTCTAGCAGGTCTTCCAGTCTTGACCGGAAACACTCCCCATGCTCACAGACACACAAAAGTTTTTTTTTTTTTTAAAGACAAAAATGCTGTGAATGTTACTTAAATGTTTGTCTCAGTTAATATTAAAGCCTTTTTCCCCCCATTTGTAGCAGTGTGACTAGGGTCTTATCAGTGTGACTTCCTCAGACTTGTTAATGTTCACTCTTTGAGATGAGATTTAAAAGCTTTAATGGAAAAGTGTGGTTTTTGCTGTGAGAATTTAATTAACTCTCACTTCATTCTTTCAGTACTCGAGTTTCATATTTTGCTGTATTTGATGGACATGGAGGAATTCGAGCCTCAAAATTTGCTGCACAGAATTTGCATCAGAACTTAATCAGAAAATTTCCTAAAGGTGAGACTGAGAACTAAATCAGTTGTTCATTTTGGTTGTTGCTGTTTGAACGGCTGTGTGAAGCAGTCAGATGTGTCATTTTGGCTTTAGCAAAGAATCATCGATGAGTCTTAAAAGGGTGGGGCTGAGTGGACTCCAGGGCTTCCAGGTGTGGCGGCCCTGCAGGTGTGTCTTAGAATGGCGCTTCTCATAATTCTACGTGATAGACACCTTTTGTGAATTGTCTTAGGGTTCCAGTAGTGTCTTGCCTTTATTGGAAAACTTGTAAAAACAACTTCAGATGGCACTGTGTTATAGGTGAGGAAACACAGATTGTTCTGGCTGGGCACTGTGGCTCATGCAGCACTTTGGGAGGCCAAGGCCAGAAGATCACTTACACCCTGGAGTTTGAGACTAGCCTGGGCAACATAGGGAGACTCCGTCACTACAAAAACAAACAAAAAAACCCAAAAAACAAAACTATCTGGACATGGTGGTATGCGCCTATCGTCCCAGCTACTTGGGAGGCTGTGGCTGGATGATTGCCTGAGCCCAGGAGATTGAGGCTGCAGTGAGCCACAGTTGCACCGTAGCACTCCAGCCTGGGTGACAGAGTGAGACCCAGTCTCAAAACAAAAAATAGAGATTGTTCTTAATCATGCTTGAAATCAGTTGATGTGCAGAAATTACAAAAGCAAAATGACAGTGGGAGCAGCATAATCCTCCCTCCTTAAGAGATTGTTTTCTTTTGGCCCTTCTGTAACAGGAGATGGCATCAGTGTAGAGAAAACCGTGAAGAGATGCCTTTTGGACACTTTCAAGCATACTGATGAAGAGTTCCTTAAACAAGCTTCCAGCCAGTAAGTATAACTTCATGAAGAAGTTTGAATGGACTGTGCATGTTTTCCTAAATGCATTTCAGTCTTCTGATTTGGTTTAACACTAATGCTCACTGTCTGAAAAGTGCCGAGCATTGAGTAAGCTCTTAAAACCATTAACTAAGTCTAAAACAGAAAAAAAAACAATTGTCAGGGAAATGGTCCATTTTGAAATATGAGATACTTTCCATTCAGCTCTGGAAATTAGTCTCAAAGTGCTAGGCTGTTGGTGGTGACTGTGTTTCTGATGTGTTTCCCCCCAGGAAGCCTGCCTGGAAAGACGGGTCCACTGCCACGTGCGTTCTGGCTGTAGACAACATTCTTTATATTGCCAACCTCGGAGATAGTCGGGTATGTGGCTCTGGAGCCACTCACTTAGATAACAATATGTTTTATGGGGAAAAGACCTTAGGAAGTACTTGCTGAGTAGGATTAAAGTGACGATGTCTGCATTGAAACCTTTCTTCTGGGGTTGCTGCAGTGTTCTGCTGCAGTTTAACTCCTGGGTAAGAGAACAGCAGCTCAGCTAGAGGCAGTTTGTCCTCTGGGTAGACTTACACCCTGTGGTAGACTTGTGCTTTAAAACCCAGATCCTGTCTTTTTAGTTTCTTTTTTCCACCTGTGGTTTATTTTGTGTGTGTGTGTGTGTGTGTGTGTGTGTGTGTGTGTGTGTGTGTGTGTGTGTGTGTGTGTGTGATGCTGTAGATCAGAAAGTAATTAGTATGCAAGTAGCCTAAATATTCTTTTATTTCATTTCTCTGACCTTAGACAGTGTTGAATGAAAAGTTTTAACCCCTGCCTTTCAAAGTTATTGTGATTTCAGAGTAACTCAAAAGCTGTAGCTAGAAAATACCAGATGAGGTGCCCTATATCCTCTGAGCCCAGTCCCTGGCTGAGGGAGAAAGCCCAGGGTGCGATAGTCGTGGGCATGCTGTAAAGCCTAGAGGGTGCTGCTGTGGAAAGCAGTCTGCAGACCCTGCCTCCTCTGCATCAGGAACGCATGTTCCATTCCATTGCTACTTTTTCAGCCAGCCTCTTTGTGCCTTCAGCAGTCACAGGAACCAAGTGACTCTGCCTCCACTTAAGCAGCATCTTTAGATCCCTCCTCCCGATGCTTTTGGGGGGATTATTCATCAAATAATCCCTGTTAGGGGTATAGCTGGGAATATAGCAGATGAAAGCCCCTGCTTGGTGGAGTTTATATTCTGGTGATCCTGTAGTAGACTGGCCCTAGTGCACATGTGTTTAAACCAAATGACTTCAGAAATAGCAAGAGGAAAATTGGCAAAAAATAAAAATAAAATAACACTTAGGAGTCAGACCCAAATTTGAATCCTGGCTCTGCTCTGTGACTTTATTGGTTACTTACTCCTCATGCTTCAGTGTCCTCCTGTAAAACACATGGTGAACCTGGCAGGGGTGAGAACACATGGAGGCGCTGTGTGGAAGGCCTGCCTGGCACTTGGCCAGCATGCAAAAGGCTGGCCCTCTGCCTTCCGTAGGCTTACGGACATGTCTCTGGCCTTGTAGAACTCCAGGCCAAAAGAGACCTTGATGCTTGTTGAATGCTTCCTTTCATGTCACAAATGTGACAACATCCAAGGGAGTGCTTGGCTGTAGTCATTCAGCAGAGTTTGCACCAGAGTTGATACCAAAACCGGGGGCAACTCTCCCTGACTGTTGTGTCTTTGACACTTCTTTGCTGTCTGATTCTCTGAACTTGAGTTTATCAGCAGTAGGCTGAATGTGAAACCCCATTGTTAACTGTTTTCTTCAACTGGTACCTTTAGATGCTGGGCCCACTGAATTTCATGACTGTTGTGATCTCCATCTTCCTAGGCAATCTTGTGTCGTTATAATGAGGAGAGTCAAAAACATGCAGCCTTAAGCCTCAGCAAAGAGCATAATCCAACTCAGTATGAAGAGCGGATGAGGATACAGAAGGCTGGAGGAAACGTCAGGTAACCAGGGAACTGAGAGGAGCTCTAGGGAAGGAGGGCTGTTGGCTGTAGAAAGGTCCCTGAGACCTTCAAGGAGTAGAACTTGCCATGTGACATAGTCTTCAGTGTGACGAGGCTGTGTCTGAGTTCTAACACTGGTGACGTAGGTGGATGACTGTTGTAGGATTTCACATATGTCCAAGTGGAAGGAAACTTGCCTCCCTACATTTGCAAAAGGACAAATTCATATTTACCATTCACAGTATATTCTCCGTGCCTAGGAAGTTTCTTAAATACTGTCATTTGTTGCACTGAGCAAGTTACAGTTTTAGGTGAATTCTCCAGAGAGAAAATCTGAAGTAGTTAAGACAGGTTCAGTGATGTCTTTGGACTTCTTGGGAACAACTTGTGGCACAGAGGACCACGTCTTTCTTGGTTCTGTCTTTTGCAGTTTCATTTCACTCTCTCTTTAAATCTTTGAAAACTGTATGTCTGCTCTGGTTTTATTACCTGCTTCTATCCAAGGCAGCTAAAGGAGGGCATATGTTTTTTCTTTAGAATTCCACTTCAAGGACATTGCATTATGGATTCCTCCAGAAGTTTTTTTCTGGTATTATACAGTTTGACTATTAAAATTTTATTTTCTGCCAGAGATAAGAGAGAGATCATCTCTAAGACTGCACTTACCTATTTTTTGAAGTATAGTTTCTCTTCTGTTGTTCATTTGGGAAAGTGTTTTTTATTGCTCCAGGCTGAATCTAGTTAGTGGTACAGGGAGATTTCTGGAGAGTAGCTGGAACTACTACTTTTGTTTGTTCAAAAAGCTCCTGGATTAGTAAGAACCAATTTTATTCACTGTTGCTGCAGTTTACATGAGCAGGGATGGGATATAGGGCTGGTTTCAGGCCTCAAGTAGTGTTGTTTGCCCAATTTTTGCTGCCATAACTACTGTCCTAGTAACTACTGTGGACAGTCATGCCTGAGGATGTGACTCTAATATGAGTGTAAGCATCACTTCTTCTCCCCTTTCTTGTAAGTTTTACATTCTGCTTTTCCCTGAACTACTTGAAAATATTTGGATACTGACAGTCCTGTGGCTGCAGGTAAGGCTAATTGTGTTGCAGTTGCTTCCTGTATCCCAGTCCCCACCTAATTCAGAGCAGTGTGTACATGCCTTATAGTTACCATTTGACAGTGTGGGCTTGGGTGAACCCTTCATCTCGGAGAAGAGGGGCTGGAGGCTAAGAGACCGGCAACGTGGGCTCCGCCTCTGAGCAGCAGAGCCCTGCTGTGACCTGTTTTCCTGCCTGAGGCCAGGGCTGTCTCCTCCACCCTCAGCTTTTATTATTGAATTTTTCAGACATACAGAAGAAACTTTGCAGTAGTAAAACAAACATTTCAAAATCTAGCAGTGAACATTTTGTCATATTTGTATAGATGTGTGACAGGTTGAGCTATTTAAAAGTTGCAGACTTGGTGACATAACACTCTAAATACTTAAGCATGCATCTCCCAAAGATAAAGACGTTCTTGACATAATGAATGAGAATTTTCACACCTAAGACAGTAATATTTCCTTGGGTTATGTTAGGTTATCTAATATCCTGTCTATATTTTTATTTCCCAAGTTATCCCCAAAGCATCTTTGTTTCAAACGAGGGTCTAGTCAGCATTCATGTCTGCCGTGGACTCGACTTGCATTTCTTTTTTTTGTTTTGTTTTGTTTTTTTTTTGAGAGAGTTTCTTGCTCTGTTGCCTGGAGTGCAGTGTGGCACGATCACAGCTCACTGCTGCCTTGACCTCTGAGGCTCAAGCAATCCTCCAGCCGCAGCCTCCCAAGTAGCTGGGACCACAGGCCTGTGCCACTATGCCTGGCTATTTTTCAATTTTTTTGGTAGGGACAGGATCTCTGTCTCTCTCTGTTTCCCACACCGAGTTCAAGTGATCCTCCTTCCTTGGCCTCCCAGAGTGCAGGGATTACAGATGTGAACCACTGCACCCTGCCAAAACTCTCATTTCTTACCAGACTTTGAACCATGTTATGGGCCAGCAGTTGTACAGAGTCATCAACATTCTGAACTTGCCTGTTTCTTTATGGTGTTTTTCCACATATTTCCTGTAAGCTGGAAGTTAGGTGTAAAGCCTTCTTTAGATTCAGATTAGGTGTTTTTAGTAGTGTTTTATGGGGGACACTGTATACTCAGCAGTCCTTCACTTCAGTAGGCACATAGTGTGACCCTTAAAGTTGTCAAATCCCAGCACTTGGCTCTGGTGCTAACAGCCAGATGTTCCTGTTACCTTGTATCATCAGTAAGTAATCTGAGGAGGTTCACTGGTACCTTGTGAATTTTCTGTTTCTTGTCACCTTTCACCTAATGGTCTTAGCATCCCTAAGTCGTCATTTCATCAGAGATGTCAAAGATAATTTTCATATGCTGTGATTCCTTTCACACGTATTAGTGGCATTCTGTAAAGAAACACTTTTCATTATCAATAAGAGAACATAATTCTTCTAAAAAAGCAGGGTAAATGTTTTCATTCTGTCCTTTAATCACCAATTTGAAAGGAAGATAATCACCTGTAGTTGTGGAAATTAGTGTTTTTCTTTCACTTCTCTGCTTCTCTCCCTCCATCCTTGACCTGCATATCCCTGTGTGCCAACAGACTATTCAGTGAGTTAGTTGTGGTTACAGTCATGGTATTTGCTGCTGTTCACTTTATCTCAGATAGGGCCAGTGGAAACTCCTGCCGGCTGGTTCCTGTGTCATTTTCTTACGTGTGTATTAATGATTAAGAACCAAAATCCAGGCTGGGTGCAGTGGCTCACACCTGTAATCCCAGCACTTTGGGAGGCTGAAGTGGGTGGATCTCTTGAGCCTAGGAATTCAAGACCAATTTAGGTTACATTGGTGAAACCCCATCTCTACAAGAAATAGAGAGAAAAAAAAAAGGGAGACATAAGCCAGGTGTGGTGCCACACCTGTGGTCCCATCTACCCAGGAGGCTGAGGTGGGAGGATTGCTTCAGCCTGGGAGGCAGAGGTTGCAGTGAGCAGAGATCGTACCACTGCACACCAGCTTGAGTACAGAGCAAGACTGTCTGAAAAAAAATAATTTACATCAGTGTAGTGTGGGTGGGGACAAATTTTTTCAAAAAAAGAACCCAAATCCATGTTCTTAGGTGCTCAGTTCAGTTGGAGTGTCATTAATTCTATGGCCGCTTGAGACATATAGAGTTAGGAAACAGCACATTTTAAATCACAAGCTTGGAGTGCTATTTCTTACTCATATTTAACATTACAGAGTTTTCTCTTTGATTTAATATTTATAGCTCATTTTTCTTAATATTAGAAATCTTGGTTCTTAACAGTATATTTATTTGTTAAAATAGTTTTATAGTATCAAAATTATCACTACTGGGGGAGCAGAGGGCTCACAGCTGTAATTCCAGTGCTTCAGGAAGCTAAGGCAGGAGGATCGCTCCATGCCAGAAGTTTGAGAGTAGCCTGGGCAACACAGTGAGACATTATCTCTACAAAAAATAAAAACAGGAGCATGGAGCCAGGTCTGGTGGTATGCACCTGTAGTCCCAGCCACTCTGGTGGCTGAGACAGGAGGTTCTCTTCAATTTAGGACTTCTAGGATCTGGTGAGCTATGATTATGCCACTGTACTCCAGCCTAGGTGACAGAGTGAGACCCTGTCTCAAAAAAATATAAAAATCATCACTTTAGTTTGTGTTCTTTGCTGTTCTCTTGTCCTTAGAATATACCTCACTAGAAAGATACTGTCCTTAGTGCAAAAGTGAAATATAACTTTTTACTGTGGTTATTTTACCACTTTGGTTATTTGTTTTCCATTTATTTTTATTCAGTTTATTTTCAGTTTATTCAATTTTTAAATGGCTTTTTTGCCTTTATATAGTATATAGAGAAATTAGAACCCCTTTGCCTGGTTGGTGGGAATGTGAAATGGTGTAGCCACTATGGAAAACAGTGTGGTAGTTCCTCAAACATTAAACACAGAGTTAGCATATGATCTGCAGTTCCACTTCTGGGTATGTACCCAAAAGAATTAAAAGCAGGGACACAAACAGATACTTGCACACCCATGTTCACAGCAGCATTTTCCACCACAGACAAAAGGGGGAAGCAGCCCAAATGTTCATTGACAGATGAATAGATAAGCAAAGTATGAGATATCTCTATAACAGAATACTATTCTTAACCTCATAAAGGAAGGAAATTCTGGCTTATGCTGCAAAATGTATGAACCTGAGGACTTTATGCTAAGTAAAAGAAGCCAGATGCAGTCAGGCATGGTGGCTCACACCTGTAATCCCACTACTTTGGGAGGGAGGCAGATGGATTACCTGAGGTCAGGAGTTTGAGACCAGCATGGCCAACATGGTGAAACCCTGTCTCTACTAAAAATACAAAATTTAGCTGGGTGTGGTGGCATGCACCTGTACCCCCAGCTACTTGGGAGGCTGAGGCAGGAGAATTGCTTCAACCTGGGAGGTGGAGGTTGCAGTGAGCTGAGATCGTGCCATTGCACTCCAGCTTGGGCAACAGAGTAAGACTCTATCTCAAAGAAAAAAAAAAAAAAGCCAGATGCAAAAAGACAAATACTATTATTTCACTCATAGGAGTTACTAGTCAAGTTCACGGAAAGTAGAATGGGGAGGTACAGGGGATGAATTGTGCGGTTAGTGTTTAATGGGAACAGTCTCAGTTTGGAAGATAGAAAAGTTCTGAGGATGGATGGTGGTAATGATTACACAACACTGTGAATATATTTAATGCTGCTGAACTGTACACTTAGAAATGGTTAAGATGGTAAATTTCATGTATATTTTACCACAATAAAAAAATGAAAAATTCCCTGTTGTATGCTTCAAAATCTAAATTGAGTAAAAAGACATTTAGCGATGTCACACTTTCATCCCTGTGTCCCCTTCATCCTATTTCTTGATTCCAGTATTTCTTACAAAACTAAGTAAATCTTGGTGTAGTCTTAATTTTTTCTACTTTCTTACATTGAAGGTAGCTATGTAGCAGTGAATTTTCTGAGAATAAGACAAGTTTTATTTTTATTTTATAAGGAAGGCAGCTGAACAGATGGGAAGTTTACATATAGCATTTAAATTTAAATGTCAGTACTGTGTGCCTAGAACTTGATCAAGTGCAGGTCCCTTATAACTAAAAGTAACTCTTCTAGCATTGTACTTTGGTTATCTCTGTAGCACTCATTGTATTAATACATTTGATTTAGGCATCTGCCAGTTTTTGGATGGTCAGGAGATGGAGTTTCCACCTCCCAACCTTAGCTTTGCAAACATCACTTGGGGATAGCTTATTTTTTGAGACCCGCTGCATCTTGCTTTTACTGACATGCAAGAGGAGCTGAAGTCCAAGCAGTTTCTGGCTGCTAAAGGCAGCCAGATTAGCCTTAAACACGCAAGTAGTAGGATGTCTCAGTCTCACTCAGTCTCTCTCTGGAGAAAAAATTAGAACAGAAACTATCAACAAAAATAGCTAAGATCTGAGGACACTGTTAAACAGCTTGTCCAATAATAGGAAAACAGTTCTCTGGTTGGCAGAAAAGAAGAGAAATAAAGAGCTCAAAACAAAAGTTGGAAGGGTGTAAGGGCAGGAGGCCCGTCCTAATGAGGGCTGGTACCAAGGGACAGGCAGACTGGCTTGGTAGGCTGAGACTTAAAAAGCTACTATCTGCTAAGCATTGTAATTACGGGGGTGGGGGGAAATTTTGAGGGAAGGGGAAAGAATGAACTTTGGGCAGTTTGTTTGAACTTTGAAAACAGCAACGGGGAGAACATGCTGTGAAACAGCTTTCTGTTGTGTCTAGAGTAGTGCACTTTCTAAGAAGTGGACATGGGTAGGGTATGTATTGGTGGCACACACCTGTAGTCCCAGCCACTTGGAGGCTGAGGTGGGAGGATCGTTTGAGTCCAGGCACTTGAGCCTGTAATGCGCCACCATGCCTGTGACTAGCCACTGCACTCCAGTCTGGGTAGCACAGCAGGACCCTTTCTCTTAAAAAAGAGTTCTAGTGAAATGGATCAAGCAGACTGGGAAGTACAAAGCCTGTGGGGCTGCTGGGGCTGAGTCCTGACTAGCCTCGTCAGTGGTGATCCTTTTGGACTTGTACCAACACTTTCCAAAGTAGAAGCGGCATGAATTTATCCTGTGTGATGCTCGGTCTCAGGGTTGGGACTCTGTGATTGGCCTTTGTTGAACTGACAGGTATTTGCATGTGGCATCCTACGTAGGACATTGCATTGGGTGTAAGCACAGCGCCAGTCCGGCTTCCTGCATCATTACCAAACGCTTTTCCTGGGGTCCATCATTCTGTCTATTGCTGCTTTCTCCTGTTACTCCAGCAGTTCAGTGAATGTAAGATTACTACTTTGTATGTGGAACTTTGAAAACAAGAATGAGAGGGCGGGTGTGGTGGCTCACACTTGTAGTCCAAGCACTTTGGGAGGCCGAGGAACGTGGATCACGAGATCAGTCTGGCCAACACAGTGAGATCCCATCTCTACTAAAAATACAGAAATTAGCTGGGCGTGGTGGCGGGCACCTGTAATCCCAGGTACTCAGGAGGCTGAGGCAGGAGAATCACTTGAACCTGGGAGGCGGAGGTTGTTGCAGTGAGCTGAGATCACGCTACTGGACTCCAGCCTGGGCAACAGAGCTAGACTCCATCTGAAGAAAATAAGAACGAGGCACATTATACCTGTAATCTCAGCACTTTGGGAGGCTGAGGTGGGAGGATTGCTTGAGGCCAGTTGTTTAAGACCAGCCTGGGCAACACCCCATCTGTACAAAAAAAAAAAAATTTTTTTTTGTTACTTACCTGGGCTTGGTGGCACCTGTAGTTCTAGGGTGGCTATTTTAAAAGACAGATTTAAAAAGGAAACCTTGGGAAATGTATTGAAAGAAGGTGCTTTGTAGGATTATTGTACTTAAGACTTTAACAGTGTTAACTGGGATAGCTTCTATAAATTTTGAGAAAGTAGCAAGTTCAAAAGAACACTGGTAATTTTACTGTATGTCCAGTTTAAAGAGTGAATTAGATTACTAGAATTCAGCAATAGAGATATATCTATTTTCCATTCAACTACAGAAATATATTTTAGTTATTCACATTAGGTCAGTGTCATAGGATGAGACGGCTCTTCAAAAATTAATTATGTGTTCCCGAGATCAGTTGCTTATAGATAATGTTCAATGACATCGAGGCATGCATTTCTGAGAAATTATCACTTTTAAAAATTTGATCTATACTGATTGTTTTCACTGATTCCAACATTATTATTAACAACACTGGGGCCGGGCGCGGTGGCTCACGCCTGTAATCCCAGCACTTTGGGAGGCCGAGGCGGGTGGATCACGAGGTCAAGAGATCGAGACCACCCTGGTCAACATGGTGAAACCCCATCTCTACTAAAAATACAAAAAATTAGCTGGGCATGGTGGTGCGTGCCTGTAATCCCAGCTACTCGGGAGGCTGAGGCAGGAGAATTGCCTGAACCCAGGAGGCGGAGGTTGCGGTGAGCCGAGATCGCGCCATTGCACTCCAGCCTGGGTAACAAGAGTGAAACTCTGTCTCAAAAAAAAAAACAACACTGCCCTCTGGAAAATATTTTGTTCACAAGAAATAATAAAGTATAATGATTTGTTGCATCAAAAATAAAAAGGAGGCTGAGGTGGGAGGATCACTTGAGCCCAGGGAGCTATGATTACATCGCTGCCCTCCAGCCTGGGCAACAGAGACCCTGTCTCTCTTAAAAAAGAGAGCGAGCGAGTGTGTGCAGGTGTGCGCGCAGATCCCGTGCTACCTCATATTTTCCTTCTTTAGACTTAGGAATTGTTTCATGTTTTCTGTACTGTGTTGTGCAGTACCAGAAGTTGCTGGTAACTTCTAGATCTTCTGGGACCTGCCATTGCAGAGGTGGTCATTGTATTCTTAATCTTGTTGAAATAGGCTGGGTTTATGACTGGGATGGGGAGATCCACACCAGACACCCAGTCATTTGGTTGTGAGAGAGGTACTCTGTTGGCTTTTCATAGTACTTAAACTGTGAGCTGCTTCCTGAACTGGCAGCTCCTAAGGCCAACTGCCCCATGACCGTCTTTAGTCTTCAGCTCTTACCCTGTGCACTCTGGTTCCTCTTGCTGTTTGTTTTAAAAGTTTATATCCTGGAAGATCACTAGGCTTTTTGCAGATGCCAGTAGAAGTCTGTGAGGAAGAAAAAACATGTTTGTTATGGATACTGAACTTTGAGCCACTGAGAGGGTAACCGGGGCCCAGAGAAGGGCCAGGCTGAATTCTGCCTTTAGGACACCAGCCCAGGAAGCATTTCCTACCATGTGCATCCATCTGCACCACATCTCCTGAACGCGTGGTCCATGATTTGGGAGCCCCCCGGTGATCCTAAACGCCCACGCATAGCTGTGGCATTTATGGAGTGCTCTTGGACTTTGAGCGTGGGTTATCTTCCTGCCTTTACAGACAAGGACCTGAAGGGGAGAGCGCTTGCAGCTGCCTAAGGTGACAGTGCTACAGCCCGGACCAGAATTGTTCTTTAGGGCAGTAGGCTCCCCCAAGTGGTTTTTCCTTGACAGTAGGACTGTGCCTTACGTGTCTCTTCGCATTTGTAGATCACTGCCCCATATCCATATCCCCTCACCTAAAAATAGAATGGGAAAAACCTTGATGCTATGTGGGTATGCGGGTTACTGTCATTTACACGCCTGTACTTGATGCAAAGGAACTGTGCTCCACAATTCGGGAATAATCACTTTCAGGGATTTCCCAAATCTAATTAGATTGAAATGTAAAATATCCCTCTGTTCTAGCTATTGTTAACCCTGAGGCATGTGTGAAACTCTCAAGGAGCTTTAAGATACAGAAACACTGCCAGGCTCCCCCACCCAGTCCAGTCAGATTTGATTCTGGAGTTTGGACCTGGATGTGTGATGAGAACTGCTGAGTCCAGCTGAAGGTTAGGCTGGGCAGTCCTGTTTACCAGCCTCCAGAAATGCTATTCCCACCTTGTGCCGCCGGGCAGGCTCCCTACCCCAGGGCAGCGGTTAATGACCTAGACATCCTTGTGTATTTGAGATCCAGAAATGTCAGTACTGGCTAATAATGTGAATTCCACAGCCTATATCTTTCACACTTCCATTCCCTGCTTTTTAAGGTGAGATTCTAAGTACTGTGGACCCATGATCTGTCAGGAATTCCGAGTCTGAAATGTTTTTCCTCTCATTTTAGGGATGGGCGTGTTTTGGGCGTGCTAGAGGTGTCCCGCTCCATTGGGGATGGGCAGTACAAGCGCTGCGGTGTCACATCTGTGCCTGACATCAGACGCTGCCAGCTGACCCCCAATGACAGGTAAAGACCCCTACCAGAGGCACAGGTGCGCCTGCATGTGGCTGTATTTCTCTTCCTCATTTCTTCCAGTTTTCATCAAGCCTTTGTTGGAGGGAAGGTGTGCATGGTGCTAGGCCCTGTGGGTGTAGAGATAAACAGAATGTGGTTTCTGCCCTGCTGGGGGTCCACAGTGGTAGGGGAGCACACATGGGGATGGGCAGTTGCAGTCTAGTGTGTCCTAGGCGTGTGTGGTGCACTGGGGAACTTCGCAATGGGGGAAGGCGTATCCTTGTCGGAGAGGAGAGGGCCTTCCTGACAGAGGGAACACACACTAAGGCATTAAAATGTGACAGTATGAAAGCATGGCCAGACAGGTGCTTGGAGGACCGAGACAGTGGTGGGAAAGTGAGAGCAGGGTGCTTTGGGGACAGATTCTGAAGGGCCCTCAGTCCCATGCTGGAGAGTCTGAATTCTAGTTGATATTAGTGGAGAATCAGAGGAGGTTTTTACGCAGAGCCAGGATCAGTTGAGAAGGAGACTGTTCACTTGTTCGTCTCCTGTTCTTCATACTTAAACATAAGGCACTGTGCTGGCGGAGGGCAAGGCCTCAACAGGTAATGGTTAAAGATGGTATTATGGAGCTAGGGAGGCCCATGAGCAGCAGTGCAGCAGCCCTGGCCTGATGGTGAAAGCTGAACTAAGGCAGTAGCAGGAGGGAGATGAGAGGAAAGCTCACAGAAGCAGGCTCCACGGCACTGAGCTGACGAGGGGAGGCGAGAGATGCTAGCTACACTGTGGCGGGGAGGTCCTCCAAGCGCTGCTCTGAGTCCTGCCCCAGTGCTGCCTTGCTTTGGCACTCGCTGGCGTGGCCTCTTCTCGAGCCATCGCCCATTCTCTACATCTGCCTTCAGTGTGTTATGTTCTCATGTGCCCCAGGGGGTCCTCTATCATCTTGCCAGCAGCTGCCGCCTCTGGTTTTCTGAACGATGCCCCCAGGGCCCCATCTGCTTGGCACCCTCTGCTTTGCCTCCTAGCTCCCCCTCCTGGGTTGCAATTGTGGATCTTTGTGATTGGTTATTCAGGGTCTGACTCTCAGGACACTAGAAGGGCCAGGAGCTTGCTAGGACTGTGTTCTTAGCAGGGACCACCTGCTTAGCAAATAGTGGTTGAATGAAAGCCTAGTCAAAAGAGGAAAACAGGCTGGGCACAGTGGCTCACGCCTCTTAATTCTGGCTCACCTGAGATCAGGAGTTCGAGACCAGCCTGGCCAACATGGCAAAACCCTGTCTCTACTAAAAATACAAAAATTAGCTGGGCCTGATGATGGGCGCTTGTAATCCCAGCTACTCGGGAGGCTGAGGCAAGAGAATTGCTTCAACCCGGGAGGCAGAGGTTGCAGTGAGCTGAGATCATGCCATTGCACTCCAGCCTGGGCAACAAGAGTGAAATTCCATCTCAACAACAACAACAAAAAGGAAAACAAAGATACAGGTATTAGAATGAGAAAAGGAAGGTGGCTTACACCATAAAGCTGTGGGGAAGCATATTCCCCACCCCCAATGCCGGGAGAACAAGAACTGTCACATCAAATCCGTTGGTGTTCAGAAAGATTCCGGGGGCAGTCTAGAGAGGGGCTGATTCTGAAAGGGAGAGCATGCGGTTTCAAACACAGGAACACGAACAGCTGCCCCCTCTTGGACCTTGGACTTGCATGCAGCCCGCAGGTGTGCAGTGTGCATCCAAGGATGTTTCACCGAGGCCAGGCTAATTCTCAGCTTTATGTCTGGAAGTGGTGATATAAATTCTTGTATATTTACCATAACACCCAGTGTTTTTATTCAGTGATTTTTCCTTGAGTTTGTCTAAGAAAGTACAGCACCTAATGTTTGAGGTAATTAATAATTCTGTTAATTGGTGAAGAGAAGGGTAGTCTCAGTTTTGATATATAGCATCCTATCCACAAATAGTTTTAAGTAGTTTAAACCTTTGTCTCAGAAGTTTAAACCTTTGTCACAGAAATTAAGTGGGTTTTCAAAAATCTTAGCCTGGCTGGGTGTGATGGCTCATGCTTGTAATCCCAGCACTTTGGGAGATTGAGGCAGGTGGATCAGTTGAGGTCAGGAGTTCAAGACCAGCCTGGCCAACATGGTGAAACCCCATCTCTACTAAAAATACAAAAAATTAGCCAGGTGATGTGGCGGGCCCCTGTAATGCCAGGTACTGGGAAGGCTGAAGCAGGTGAATCACTTAAACCCGGGAGGCAGAGGTTGCAGTAAGCCAAGATCACACCGTTGCACTCCAGCCTGGGCAACAAGAGTGAAACTCCATCTCAAAAAAAAAAAAATCTTAGCCTTTGAATAGTTGGACAAATATTTATCTCCAACTCCAGGCCATGCTTTTTTTTTTTGGGGGGGCGGGGGGGGGGTTGCACCTAAAACCATTTATATTCCTCCCTGGTGTTACAGGTTCATTTTGTTGGCTTGTGATGGGCTCTTCAAGGTCTTTACCCCAGAAGAAGCCGTGAACTTCATCTTGTCCTGTCTTGAGGTGAGGAATCTCACACGGGAGTGATGGTTGTTCCAAATGTGTCCTAGTTTTTGGAGAAGTAGAAGTCCTGAGACCCCATGTCCTCCCATTGTGGGGCAGCCCTTCTGCCCTTTTTCAGTGTGAACTCTGCCCACTGCACTGGTCAGTTTGTCCTGCCAGCACTGATGGGAGGCCAGAGCAACTCCTCTTCTTGGCAGTAATGTTTCTGGAAAGTGGCAGAGTGCAGAGTCACCCCATTCACTCATCCCCTTTCTCATCTGGTAGGATGAGAAGATCCAGACCCGGGAAGGGAAGTCTGCGGTCGACGCCCGCTACGAAGCAGCCTGCAACAGGCTGGCCAACAAGGCGGTGCAGCGGGGCTCGGCTGACAATGTCACCGTGATGGTGGTACGGATAGGGCACTGAGGGGTGGCGTGCGGCCAGGAGCACCCATTGTATTGACTTAAAAGGTTCATTTTGTGTGTGTGTGCACATTGTGTGTTTTGTGTACTCCTGTGGGACTCCCATGGTTGTAAATAAAGGTTTCTGTTTTTTTTTTTTTTTTTT